AGCGACATGCGTTCGACGCTGGGCAGGGCCCCCCTTTTGGCTTCCCCTTCCCTGGTCCAGCCAGCCAAGTCGTCTCTCAACCGTCTTTAAAATGCACTTTTTCGAGACGGAAAAAAGACGGCCGTGAGCGCAAAAATCAGCTGGTGGAAAGACCGTCGTGAGCCGGACCAACCGTCGTCCACCCGTCTTTCAGCGGTCTCCCCACGGGCTGCAAACCGGCGCGTGACCGTCTTTTCCCTGGCTCGCCGATGAGACCAGAAAACTCTGTCTTACAGCCACAGTGTTCCATACGGGCAGAGACCCGGCATGCAGTACGGGACTCACATCGCTCACCACGGTGGCACACCTTGAGGGAGAAGTCCAGGCGCGCCATCCTCCACGTCGGCAGGATGTACAGCCCGCCACCACCCGTCTCCGAAGCGCCGCCACGGTAGATGATGGTGCACTCCTCGGGCTTGGCGCAGTCGCGGATGTCGCACAAGTCCGCCGTCAGGTTATTGGCACCCTCCGTGAAGCACCACGCGCCCGCCACCGAGCGCGAAGGGTTCCGGCAAAAGTTGCTGCGCGCGCAGTCAGTCAGAGGGGAGGTCAGAAACGGAGTCTGGGAAGCTGGGGGACACACCACCCACCTCGCCTCCTGGATGTCCTGCTCCGGATAGAGCGAGCCGTTGCCGAGGCTGGCGGGCGCCGCAACAGCCCACGGCCTGCAGGGCAGCCCCGACCTGGACACGTTGCGCGTGCCCATGTAGTCGTTGGCCGTGCCGGCCAGGCGGCAGTGGGCGGCGCGGCACTCCCTGACGGCGCACGGCCACGGCCCCGGGGGGCCCGCCGCACCCTCGTCGCCGTCCTGGCCGGGCGCGGAGGCTGCATAGCAGTACGGCGTGGCCCTGCCCACGTTGCGGCAGCGGTCGAGGGCCGCCTCGCGCGACCCGTCCGGGAAGACAGCATCATCGCGGAGCTCGTCGGGCAACTGTAGGTCCGGGGCCGACCAGGGCAGGCACGGCAGGCCGGTCGCCGTCGTCCACTCCTTACCCGAGTATGGCGCCATGGACTGTGCGTAAATGGTCCAATGAGAGTGGAGAACCTCGAACCGGGGAGAATGCTCTGTAACCATACGTACCCCTGGGCGGTGGCACTCGGGGGGCATAGGCGGGCCAGGGTCCTTGGGTACGCAGAACAGCGTGAAGAGGGCTACCCCTAGCAACGGGGCCACGCCAAACCACTGGGGGCCACGCACGTCCTCCGGAACCTCGGTCTCGAGGACGGCGACGCCCGGCCCCGAGAGCGAGCGCGCCCACACGGACAGCAGACCCGTGGACGAACTCAGCGTGACAGACAGCTCACGCCACGACCACCAGGACAGTAGCTTGCCCGAAGACACCTGCTTCAGCCTGAGCACGTTGGCGTCGGCGCCCCTGCGGTACGCGACGTAGGAGTTGTTGCCGTCGTCCACGCACACCCTGAGGTCCGGGGTCTCAGCAGTGGGTGCTCCGCGGAACAGGAGGCAGACGGGGCGCCGCGAGCGCACAAACACCTGCGCGCTCGGCCCCGTGGGACTCTGCCGCACCTGCCACAGCCTGGAGAAGGTCTCGGCGCTGGCCGTGTGCACGGGGCAGTCGTCCCCGCAGGCGGGCACGCCCCACTGCACGTGCCGGCCAGAGAGCGCGTAGGCGCGCACCTCCACGCGGCCACCGCGGCCGCGCTTGGCGCTGGGGAAGTCCTGCACGAGGATGGGTTTCTTCTGACCCTCCTTGAGCAGCGAGAGGTACTCGTCACCCCACGTGACGCGTAGGTCGGTCCAGTTCGCAGCGTTGAGCAGGCCGGGCACCTTTTCAGCGTCCCGCTCAAAGCCGGTGAAGTGCGTGTTCCTGTTGGAGAGCACCAGCTCGAAGCCCGTCTTGCGGTCCAGCTGCTGGCGGCCGCTGGCGGGGCCGGTGAGCAGGCTGAACGACAGTCGCGCCGAAGCCGTCTTCCAGTCTGCGGGATCCCACAATTTGACAGCGAATCGGAACGAGGGAGTGACGCCCGCCAGCTCGGTGTAGTCCGAGTGCGTGGCCTCCTCGTAGGTGGTGAACACGGTGCAGTTGCGGGGCTCACACACAGGCACGTCGCAGTGCGCACGCGCCACCCGCTTGCCGGCCGCACCCGTCTTCACGTAGCACCACGGCCCGCCGGCCCACGCGTCCGGGTTGCGACACTTGCGCCCCGCCCAGCGCACGGACGCGTCCGGGAACAAGCGGCCCGTGAGCTTGGACAACACGCCCGGGTTGTCCCGACGATACTTGCTGATGCCAGCCCACTCCAGGCATGGCTGGCCAGAGCTGGAGCGGGCCACCTCCCCGGCATACTCCATGCCCGCACCCGTCAACCGGCACTCCTTCGCGGCGCATAAGGGCACCTCGCAGATGTCCGAGACCACCGACGGGTCCTTGGTGTAGCACCATGGACCAAGGTGCTGACCTGGTCCCACAAGAGAGGGTCTAGTAAGAGAGGAAATGCCACCTAAGGAGTTAATTAAATGTACAGGTACCATATCGTGGGCAAGGCTACCTGTGGGGTTGCGGCATCGGTTGGTGGCAGCCTTACGGGACCCGTCAGGAAAGTCCACGTCAGTTATACGCTCATTTCTCGCCTTTCGCGAGTCCCAGAAGCGACATCGAGGTCCAGAGAAGGACTTGGAGATGGAACCGCGGTAGTCGACGCCGCTGTGACTCAGCTTACAGCTGTTGAGGTCCAGCTTTTGGGCAGCGGCAATGACGCATGTGAGGAGCAAGAATAAGGCTCTCATGCTCATGTGACCAGCTTACTGGCCCCAACAATGCAGTCCATCAGTGCTGACAACCGCTAAACTTTTGACTTTAAGGTTGTGTACAAAAAATATGAAATAGATTAAGTTTTAACATTTTTATTTGTGTTTACAACAAGTTACAGAGGATTGGCATTAACATTAGATAAAGCAGACAATGTAT